CATACAGAAGTAATAATTTGGAAGTTGTTATTCCTTGATTAGGTTCATCAGTATCAAATGCTTAAGTTTTAGTGGGACCCTTCATTTTGACGTCATTTAGATCGGACAATATTATCTATGGATTCACCACTTTAGTGTTCTGATGTCTGACTTCAATTGGATCGTATGAATGTTATTGAAATATATAGATAGGCTATCCTCGTATACAATTATGGACTTAAATTACGTTAGTGAACAACGGAATTAAATAAGCCAAATACGAGAATCAATTTTGAATATGTATATTTTATGCACTCATTGATTTGAACAGGCAGTGAAGTAGAGGAAACAAAGAAGGAAGAGTGAAGCAGATTGGAGAAGCAAAAAGAAGAGCGCGAAGCGAAATGACGCGCAGTGGAGAAGGCGTGTCAGCCTGTGACGGCCCGTTGATCTGACTCCCATTTAGATCGTATGGATGTTTGTTATCGCTTATTCTCGTATATCATCGTCGACTTAAACCGCGTTATCCAATAACGGGATTAAATAAGTCGAATAACGAGAATTGACTTGAGAATACATATATTTTGTATATGAAGTGAATGAAATAGAGCGAAGCAAAACGACGGGCAATGGAGATGGTGGGCAAGTCAACTCCATTTAGTCATGCGTTAATCAATATTTATAGTCAGATGAAAATAAGTTACAGATATGTGATGAATGGGATGGGAAGTGTACACACATATGCGCTCATATAAAAACAGTCAAGATTGATAAGCGAATAATTAACAAGGTCAAAATATGACTCAAGTAGAATGAATAGATTGGCCTGTCCGAAAGCCAGAATAAGGTATATGGGCTTAACATAATAACTAACACTACGGCATCATTATCATTGAATATTATTGAGCAATTCAAGAATAAACATAAATATAATTATGAGATGCTGAAGGAGATTTATGGCTGAGGTGGATGATTTTGATAGAGTTTTGTTCTCTGAGCTGGATGGTTTAATTATGGAGAGCTGATAATGTCATTCAGAAGAACGATGAAATCCTCCATAACCAAACCATCCAGCTCAGAGAATAAAACTACAATAAATATAATTCTACGAATAAAACCCATTACTAATGTAATCTATACAAGAATTTCAATGAATTTGCCTATTTTGTTTTTACACAGTGCACTCAACAAAAGGATATAGTTACATTTATTATTACACATTATCATACTTTTCTAGATTAATTTTATTTGCGTAATACAAATGAAGTAATTTGTTAAATGTATTCAATAAGGAAGACACTACATAATAAAATGTAAATTAATCCCAGTGAAAAGGACATTATATTAATGATAATGCTGATGATTGAATTTTCTATGCTAATGATTATTTAATAGTTTTGAACTAGAAATAAAACATTCTACTTATAACTTATTTTATATTTAAGTAGTTTAAAAATATGATAAGAAGAAATTACAATAAAATTTATAAAAAGATTTCTCTTTTTTTCTTTTTAACATGTTATATTTAATTCTACTAATTGATTTGAAATTAGGTTTTGTTCAAGTGCCTTATTATTATTATAGTTAAATATGAGTCGGGATCGTGGATGCGCACTGATGAGGAGTCCCACGATAGGATGAAACGGCCTTCCAGTGCCTCCAGGTTTCCCATGGTGGTCTTGCTTTAATTGACTCATGATCTCAATTATTGAAATCACAACAATCTCTACAAAACACTTTGGTTACTAATCAAAATATGCTCACTAGTGACTTCATTCCATTCTATATGTGGAACAATCTGTGACCAAATATTTATACTAATTTGTAATTAGAAATTGTTCTCCTTTATTTATTCGGATCATTATTCTCACAATTCCATTTACCATTTAAACCGATTCAAGTGAACACTGTATATTCATCATTTTATGAGGAAATACTACCATTTTAAACGACATAATTCATCTTAAACCTGGTAACACTTTCAACAATTAATTTCATTATTGAAATTGAGGAGTACTGATGAACACTGTAAATAACAAACAAATTACCGCTCATATCAGTTAACAAAATCATGAAATAATTTATAAAAATTGAGCCAAACAACCTTTTATCTAATATTTCAGTTAGTGTGATGTACCCTACTTATATAGAAACATATAAGTAGTATTCAAAATCAGTCGGAAGTGAAGCTCCTGACAACATGAGCTGGAATCGAGAAGAGAACAGGAAGGTATATAGAAAACGATTGGAATAACAACAGAATCAGAGGAATCATGAAGTATGTAACGGACAACTGAAGGAAGATGTGCAAATAATGTATTTAGTTTATGATTTTTATATTTTGCAAAGGCAATGTGTAATTTCGCATTAAATTTACTATATTAGTATTGAAAACAGTACATGATATATTAATTCCATGACTGCGAACAACAAAGTACTTGTGTTCGAGAAATGACAGTTTCGATTATCAAGGAAATTTAACGCATAAATTATATTAGTTAGTAATTTTACTTTATGGAAAATTGACTGAGTTCAAGTGATAATTGGTTTCTTGATTGTCAAAGTATGTGAATGTGAAATCGTTGGTGTTGAAAATTTTCTTATCAATATACGACATCTGTTCAGTACTTTTCATTTTTACAGCTTCTTTTTGATAGATAAATAGATTAATTGATTGGTCACTGACTTAAAATCAACGTCATGTCTACGTAGTTCTTCTTACTTACCTAACAGCTTTATGACAGTTTCAGACTTTAAAGTTGGTTTGTATCGTTCTGACAGTATAAGTGCCCTAAAGGACCATAAGTACGTCTTACTATTGAGTGCTAAATAACTTAAAATCTAAATTTAAAGTATCTTGTTGATCGCATCCAGCCAGTTAGCGATAGTAAACGTTTTTTGAAAATATCCGAATAACTAACAGTTACATTACTATCGAAATCAGTTGAACATAATCAACACAGTCATTAGTAAAACTCGAACACTCAATCATATCAATATTTACCATAGGAGTCACGGTCAAACTGACCTCATTTTGATCACATTGATATTCAGAAAATTAGTTCAAAGCTCCAGTTATTTTTTCTTAAATTCTAACCAAACACAACAACATAACTAAAGAGATTATGAGTGAAATATTCTCACTATAAATGAGTTTTGATAAATGTTTATTCACTGTAAATGAATCCTTTATACAAACATCAATGGAATGTTCATCACTCTTTAATTCATAATGTAAATTTAGAATATAATACTGTGTAATTTTCATAGAAGAATATCAACAACAATGTACTTTTGATGGTCGGTATTCGATATTGTCCTTAAATTTCGTATATTATTCGTCCTGATAACTGTTACTAGATAACGCCTTCCACGATGTTTAAGTCAGAAGACGAATACGAAACGTTAATCACGTTTATTATTGCACCACGCACAGGTCAACGAAATCACAGGCACACAATCAAGAATGAAAAGCTAGTGCTGAGAAACAAGCAAGTGATGCAAACAATCAACAGGATTACAATGTTCATGTTTACATACATAGGAAAATGAATAAGTTATCAAATCATTTAAGCGACTAACACTAACGCTAGCAGAATGAATATATGCGTAGTCAGTAAGCAATGCTCATATGAGTGAAACAATAATAAGCGTACAATGGTATGGATAAGTTGTTATTTGCACAAATGACTCTGTTTATTACATAAGTTAACAAAAAAACCTTAACCAAATTAAATGGGAACAATCTCAATTGTACATGAGCTGTTATATACTATTTCTAATATCAGTCTAATTCAATTAATAAATTGTACATTGTACTACAAATTACATAAAATTGTTCACATCAAACCATAAACATTCCATTTCCTATAATCAATAATTTTTTTTTGTCTTTTACTAGATACTGTTCCCATAAATTTTTTTATTCTTTAATTATATCAGATACATTCTATTTCATTAGACAATTGAATATTGAACATTTTGTAGTGAGAAATTCTATTTAAAACAATTAGTCGCTTTGATAAATTTCGATATATTTGCGCAATACATTTCGAACAATCTGATCACACATTATGTACATGTTAAGAACATTTATATATGAAAAGTTAAACGGTCAACTAGACAGGTTAAGGGTAAGTCATAACAAAGGAAAAATATTAAAGTACAGAAAAACAAATGTGATTACCACTCTGGACAGTAAATCAGTACTACCAGTGTAGGTTAAGTGTAGGTACAAATTGTTTTTGAACACATAAAGGGGGTTTCAGTTTTCGTATAGCCAGGGCTTCAATAAAACCTTAGTATACGTTCTTGAAGGCTTTTGTATAACACTACAAATCCTGACTTGATGTCAACCTTATGACCCGTCTCAATCAAACGTTTCGCAATGGATGATGATGTCTGTCTATCCTGTGATCTTATTTCACCATTGGAATTCATCTGATTTTGCAACCATTTTGGTATATGCTCACCCACCCTTAAATGCAAATCACGATTGCTCCTCCCTACGTACGTGTTCTCACACATACATGTAAATTTGTAGACACAATGGGATGTGACACAATCGTTTTCATGCTGTTTGGTCTATGTTTCACCAAAAGCCCATTGGATTATCGAAATTTTTCAAAGGGACTAATTGTTTTAATGTATATTTATACATTTTGAAGATATAACTAAAAAGGTAAGAGGATTTTCAGAAAATACAAGCAACTGATTGTGCCCTTTTTATTGTCTGTTTATATATATATATATATTTTCTTTCTTTTTGAATTAGTTTTGAAGTGTAGATAATTGTATATCTATGTATATGTGCTTAGTTACGCCGATGTTTGTCTACATATAGTTAACAAATGAACACATATGAATATGTAGTCTTTACTAGTATTATTTCCGTTTACCTTTACAAAGGAAATGCACAATTTTAATCGATATTATTTCAACCAACTATATGTGCCTAAAAGTGTAGAATGGGAAAATATAGAGTCAATAATAAACCGAACAAAATAAGAAACCGTATGAAACTGATGAATAAACACTCTCATACAAGCATACACACTAGGTATAACTACTTGTTAGCTAGTTAGTTAGCTGAATCAAACTTAAGTTTTAAATGATTATAAAGAATTATTCATTTCATTACTGATTTACAATAACCCTAACAAAAGACTATTCTCTCTTATTGTCAAGAGAGTTTTCAGTTGTTTTTTTTTAACTTTTAACATTAAAACGTAACATTAAAAGATAAAAAAATATTTTCTGGAAAAAACGGTATTTCGTATCAACCGATAAAATTATTTTAATGAAAATAAACTTAGACCCTCCTGCCCCCCCCTTAAATACTAATTCACAGATTTTCCCATTGAAGTTAACAACAACAACAATAATAATAATAATCTACGTTTAACTAAATTCATTGTAAAGAAAATGCCCTGTTTATGGATTATATGTAACTTTTCTATTGTAAATAATTCATATCGAACACTTCCAACAAGAAAATATCGTCTGTTTTTCACCCACAGCGTTTAATAATCATCAAAGTGTTTTGCACAATTATGACTGTTTATTACATACTACTGTTAAAATGATAAAATTTAGTAGTAACAACTTATCAATACACGATAATAGTATTTCCATAATCAAGAACAAAATTCTATTCAGTACACTAACACACACACACACACATACATACATAAACACCAGGAACATAAAGAAAAAAAGGTTTCAATTATTGATAACCATTGTAAAACGTCATTTAATGTTCCATGCAATGTGTTTCTTTAAAAGATAATTACTATTAAACTATTTATGAAAATCGAAAAAAACGATGGATGAAGCAATAAATGAGTAAATCTATAGGATATCCTATTGTGATCTAAACGCATTTATTGATTAATCATGTCCAGTTATCGTTGGCCACCAGTTCCTACATCTGGACTTAAATCACGAGATGTAAGTTTTATATATATGATCAAGTTATTCAGCGAATATCTATGATCTCTTGTATCCGATAATTTCTTGTCAAATGATAACCATCTTGAATTGAAAAGGTTCCTCTTCTTGGAGATAATAAAATGATTACTGAAATTATAATTTAAACTTAATCAATTTCGAAAAGATTAGAACATATTCTGCATCAACAGAGAGTTTCCAAGTGCTAATTTACTAACGAAAAAGCGACTCATTTATATGTAATATGTAAGACGGATTAAGGGTACGAAAAATTGATACGCAGCAATATTCAGTGGTCACAGATGGTTTAATGAGTCTAATAGCAGTCACTTATGTATGTAGTGAGTCTTTTATAGTAAAAATAACTCCTTAACAATTGGTAGACTTACATGCGAAAGATTATTACTGCTTTTATCGCAATACTACTTAAATGGATTGAATCTTCAAAAACAGAAATACTAATTTAAACAAGTTTTAATTTACAATAATATTAAAAAATCTCAGTTGGCATTTCAACAGTTAATTCTAATTTAATAGTTGAATTCATGAGTCAATTAAAGCTAGACCGCTATGAACAAACTGGAAACACTGGAAGGCCATTTCGTCCTAGTATGAGACTTCTCAACAGTGCTCATCCATGATCCCGCCCGTCACGAGATTCCAACCCAGGACCTATCGATGTCGCACGCGAACGCTAAACCCCTATACCACTGAACCGGCCGGCACTCAATAGTGCTACTATTTAACCTCAATCAATCCACCTAAGAACTTATCTATAGAATGAAATTCTAGAGTTTCAATTAAATTTCTAGCTATCTGACTTATCTATTAACTATCCTTTAATATCTAGGTAGACTTATCCGCTATAAATCTACTTAAACCTTTCATATTAATTCATGAAGAAATGAGTATAAACACAAAATCTACAAAAAACTGATAGAGTTTAGAGAGTATAAATTGATCTAATTATGAATCATAATGACTTTAGAGTAATATAAATTCAATGTACAATGTATAAACATTGTCAATGTAATTTCGATTAAATACATGAAAGAAATTATTTACTGTAACAGTCAGTACAGGATTGTAAAGATTATTGAATTTTATTGAAATCATGAACCAATCTATGTTAGACCTCCATTGAAAACATAGAAGCACTGAATAGCCATCTCATCTAAGTATGGGACTCCTAAGAAGTGCATCAATGTGCATCCACGACTCCTCATGCAAAGAATGTTCTCAGCACCTTCAGTCTCTCGCTCAAAAGCCTAAACTTTGAAACGCAGAGCAGGGATCCGACGGTGTTAACTAATTTAACTTAAATCAATCCACGATTGATTTCTACTTCAACGACCTTCAAATAACCACGATTCTTTCACATTATTGAACTAGAATGTACTAGTTCACATTTTCGAATTCTAGTCTATATATTACTTACTTACTTACTTACTTACTTACTTACTTACTTATTTATTTACTTACTTACTTATGCCTATTGCCCCTCGTGGAGGAGCATAGACCGCTCATCAGTATTCTCCATCGAACTCTGTCCTGAGCAATCCATGGGGAAATATAGATTGGAAAAAATTCACTGTAGACTGGTTTATCAGCAAATAATATAAGGAACAGAATATATTAGTCGTTCTAACACTCTAATGGGTGTAAATAAACTTCTTTGATTAGAATCATGAATCGATTGGTGTTAGACCACAATTCAAAAACTGGAAACATTGAACGATTGTTCCGTCCTATCGCGGGACTCCTTGGCAGTTCACATCTACGATCCCGCTCACGGGACTTCAACCCAGAGCATTCAGTCTCGCGCGCGAACGCTTAACCTCTAGATCACTGAGCCGGCATCTCACAATAAGACGAAACGGCCGACCAATTCTTCCAGATTTTCAATGGTGGTCTAACATCAATCAATTCATGATGTCAGTCAAAAACTTAATAGTCTCCAAAACCCTATACTGCTAAATAAAATTACCATCTTATTAAACTTTTGATATCTTAGATCGTTTTATTTATTTTTATCTTTTCTTCTCTTTGCTTTCATTTTAATCAGCGACAAGTTGGGTTCGATCGTGAAGGTAGACTATTGATGTATGCTTGCTTTGCTCAATGTCAAACATTGAAAAATAATCCAGAAGATGTTGTTTGTCATATGGTTTATCTTATCGAACATGCAAAACGAAGTATACAAACCTCAGTGAATACATTGGTATTTATTATTGATTGTACAGGTAAGATTATAATGTACTACTTAAAGATAATACGATTTTTTAAAACAACTTCATTGTAATGAGAATCACAATAAACATCCTATTGGTGGCATGTGTTAGTGAGTATCTAGACGATTGACCTAGTAGATAACGCGTCGAACATTTGAATTGAAAGTTACTGTGTTCAATGCTACGGAAGTAAGTGTATTCAGCTGACGAGTCCTAAATAGGAAGTTATTTATATTCTGTTAGACACTATCCATCTATTTCAGAAAACCTCTAGAAATTTTCAAGGTTATAACCAGTCGAAAATGTCATAATGTTATGATCCTTCAAGATGCTCCTCACATACGATAAAACATCTTCTCTATCTATATTTCTGTTGTTCCAAATATAACTAGCTCTCAAAACTCTATCCAATGAGATGCTCTGAAGAGTATAGAATTACTTAAGAATTTCTTTTAAGCAAACATCAGAAGAACTAATCTTTATATGTGCAATTTTATTTAAATATTTCAAGTGTTTTCTTTAGTATTCATATGTGTGCTACTGATATCTAGGGAGATAAGTAGTATATGTCATCAATCGAAAGTTAAATGCCTGGTGGCAGAAGGTTAGTAGAAAAATGAATGGGAATAGAGAATGATTGGTTGGTAAACGAAGGAACAAAGATGTCTGAGACGATTGATTGACATTTTGCAAATGAAGTCTTTATTGTATAGTTCTCGGATTTTACTAACATGTTCTGTAATTTCATATTCAGACACATTCTATTGTCCCTAATTGTGTTCTCGTTCAACACAATATCATCATGAATTAATGATATCACAACAGATTTTTCTCCTTCTTACACTTAAATGTCCTAAGCATTCAATAGTGGTATTTTTTACAAAGTTATTTGTTAGGTAAATTGCATCTGCTAGTGATTCTTGAATTTCATATCTAAACTGAAAATGTATTATTACATGGTGGATTAGTTCAGCAGTGTAATATATTGTGGCCATGGTAGGTTTTCAGCGAAAAGTAGACAGGATTCCTTGTTTGACCTACATTTTGTACAAGTTGACGCTAAAGAACAAGGTATATCAACAATCTTGAAGGGACTGATACTCCTGCAGAATTCGAATCTAAATGACCCGAGTTTATAGTTTAAAAAGCTATTGGACAGCTGTTTTGTCAAAGTGCAGGACTTCTCAGAAGAGCACCTTTCCTACCCCCACCTAAGATGAAACCTGAATCTCTAAGTCATATGGCAAATCCTGAACGTTTATACCATTGAGTTGTCATCTAGTGGTTTACTTTTCTAATTTCAGTCAACTTTACATATTGCACTATAGAAAGTCTGGAAGCACTGGACGGTCATGTCATCCTAGTATGGGTCTGCTTAGGAGTGTGCATTCAAAACCCACATACAAATATTATGGATTGTTTAAATAAAACATTAAAACAAGTTAAAATTCAATCATTCTATAATGGTAAATATATTAAACCAAATATAGAAGAATTACAAGCATATGGAGTTGATATCAATGATAATCTATCTGAAATTAGTGGACGATCTGAAGAAGAAGAATAATGATGATAATAATAATGAAAGGATTTAAAATATGCTCCTTTTCATGAATTGATCTTCTTTTATTATTAATCTTAAAACTCTATTTTGATCTTTCTATTCTGTTCATCTGACTTCAATGATCATTGTTCAATATAAATTTGTATATTGAACGCTTGTGTAATATTTTTTATAAAAAAATTTCTTTGGCTTCAATGTACATTTCTGATATTTCAATTGATTAAAAAGAATTTGGGCAAAGACTATAATTTATGGATGTAAGCATCAGCTGGTGAATTTGGCGCCGTGACATTGAAATCCATCAGACGTTTCTGATTGGTTCGTCTGCAAATTATGGTATCGAGACTACTAGCCAATCACAAAACAGTTAATATAAAGTAGAAATATATACTAAACAAAGCCAAAGAATTAAAGTGGATACACTTCTTTTATATGGTTTATAAACTTTTCAAGGTTAGAAAGAGGTTCAGAAGTTCTGAAATCGTAATGCATACAGTAGAGGAACTTATCCATATGGCTCCATAATAGTTGGCTTCTCGAGCCATAATAGTATCGTAAAAACTATTTCAGCCTCGAACACATAACTTCATTATTGTTTGTGTGCACTCCGGTTGTTGGATCCACAAAATGCCGCTTGTGGAAGACGACACGATGCACATAACCAAGTCTATATAGGCGCCTGTACGTTCTCCAATCCTCTGTATATTGTTGTGCTTGGCTGTACATATTCCCGAGTAATTGGTATTATTGTCATTGCCTATCGGTTTCTGACCCGCTGGAAGTGCCCCTCTTGAGATTATATGTCGTAAATTCCAAGGACCTCTGAGGTATATGTATGGAAGTGCTACTTACCTAGTCTATTGTATTACTACGTCTTCTGTTAAGTTTTCGTTTCCTGACTATTGTTTCGTCTATTTCAACGATTCTCTCAACTCCCTCCAAAAGACTCGCGTAAGCTTGTCGTTTTTGTTGCATATATACCTCTACAATACTCATACCACTGAACATCCAAAGCTTCAGTAACATCTGCAAATGTTGCAGCTATCTTACTGACGCTTTTATTATCCAATTCGCAACAATTATCATGATTTTCTCTGTTTTCAATCGGGATCGATCGGCGAAAGTTCCTGTTCTTTCACACTTCTTGTTCCAACATAAACAACATCGAAAGGCAACTTCATTATGGCAGTCTGTACACAGTACAGAATTTATTTGATTGCCTCAGTCACAAATAAAGGAACTTCTTTGTAATCCTATTTGTTGTATCCGCTCAATTATCACGTCTTCTATAAAATCCGCTGTAAACCGATTGTATGTGAGCATCACGTACTGGAATTGGCGCTGTGATATTGAAAACTATCAAACACTCCTGATTGGCTCGTCCAGAAATTAGAGTCTCGCCGAAAGTTATTATTTTAAAAAATATATTATATAGACTCTAATGATTCCGATCTAATCTGAATGTAATTTAGATACTAAGAGATCATGTAAAGTAGCATATGTGAAAACAAATAAAAAGCTGGAAAATACAAGAATAAATAAAACAAGAGTAAAGGTTAGTCGATAATTGAACCGAAGTACAAAATGCATCTATTTCTAATGAAGAAAGTAATTGATAATAATTTTTAATAATACTGTAGTGAATGAGAACACAAGTGGGACAATCAAATGTATGTGAATACACAATGACAGAACGCCTCAGTAGTAGTATCTGAGACCCATATTGTAAATACTTCATTTGCATAGTATCAATTAGTTGTCTTAGACATCATTGTTCCTTCGTTTCCCAACCAATCATTCTCTATTCCCATTACCTTTTCTTCGTAATTCTTAACCTTCTACCACCAGGTATTTCGCTTTCGACTGATGATATATACTACTTAGATCTCTCTATATCAGTAGCACACATCACAATGCAAACGTAAAATTATGATAGTTTGATATTCGAAATTTGTCGGCGACGTTACACCCCAAAACTCATATTTTGTAATTTTATTTTTGTGCAGCTTGTATGCAGATGCATGCTTGGGCATTTCTTACCACCCACGCAGATGTGTGTTGAAGTTCTGTAGAATAATAGATACGGGAAGGAATCTGGTGTAAATATTTGTCGAAGGTAAATTAACCTCTCATACGTGTAAACGTGGAAAACCAACCATTATAACAAGTACATTGAATTTGTTTTAATAAAAACAAAAGGTAACTGATTGAATCATGTATTTAATGCAGAATTGATGATACTGAATTGAACACTACTTAAAATGTAATTTGAAAATGAACGTATATAAGGAGAAAATGAATATTGATTGGCTTTGAAGAACCGGTTCAAATGATACAACATCAACCTTCTGAGTAACAGATCTTCTCTCCATAATCTCAATATTTGATCACAGTTTGTAATGTTGAATATCATCTTATCAAGTGAATTGTAATGTGATCGTTACAAATCAATTAACTGGAAGGACAGCTTCATGATAATCAAAATAGTGAATGTTACATATACATTTCAACTCAGAATTCACCACTTGTTTAAATACACTTCATTGTGGGTTCAACTAAGAGTTTGTTGTTTGCTTCAATCTCACTGATATGCATTATTTCATCATATTGAAGAAAGTAGAAACAATTATCGAACTAAATAAACTGACAGTAAAATTGAGTACAATGAATAGTTGAACAAACCAGTCAACATTGTAAGAGGGTATTTTGTTGCGTGAAGGTAAGGCCGTGTGTAATGACTAACATTCGTCTTCAAATTCAACCAGTGTATACCTTCCATCAAATGTTTGTCTCAATGTATCTTGATCATAACCAAAACCATCTTTCACCTAGTCAACAATGATTTTCAACTGATCTGGCAATAAATATTGGATTGATAACGGTTGGTGATGATGAAGAAACTTCTGACTTGTATGCATCACTACTCCACTTAATATTCTGAATGATTTTCCCCAAGATCATTTTCAATCTGAAGATGAACACGACATCTTAATAGTATAGTTGAGTTAATCTGAGCATTCGTATGCATTAGACCATGTGTTGAACTATGGTGTTTTGACGCACTGTTTGAAGCTACTGATATTTGTTTAAGTAGTAAAGTAATCAATCAGTAATGACAATAACAACGTCAATTTAAGCCATAACAATAAATTAAAAAATTAAAAATTAAAAAATCACATTAGCTGCATAACACCAATACTCTTTGAATGATACAAGTTTCCAGGAATCGAAGTATCATTCAACATATTGTTGAATGAACCAGACTTTTAAATGATGAGTGAATAGCAAAATATCACAGTACTCAGTCTGTGTAGATGTCGATTATTCAAGACATCAATCAAAATAAGTGAATAACACGATGCCGCTTGAAACGAACGATACTGGGTTCGAGTCAAGGAGGGAACATCAATTCCAGGATGCAGGTATATCCAGCTGACGAGTGAGAAATAGGGAGAAAAGCGCATCATGGATTCCATTTCTAGTCACCAGTAATCTTTCCTGATAAAGATGGAGTTATATTGGTGAGGACAGACAAACGTAATGTATTCGGAATTAGAAATCGAACAGTCTTCAAGTACAAAGGTATCGCTAATGTATACAAACACCACAAACCTGTATATCGTATGCATTGAGGAATAAGATTTGCAAAACGATTGAGAATTCTGTCTCATTCATCACATTGAATACAACACAACATCAAATTCTATCATTTCTGTCATATTCAATAAAATATTCAAAGTAATATTGATTACTTCTTCAATCTCATTGTAAACAACGTGTTTGTCTAATTGAACAAACATATTTGTGTTGACCTCTTTTTTGTTTATAGACCCAGCTATGATTATACTTTGTTTATCAATGATCACCTCATTCCATCTCAAATAATCAAATAATATGGTATTCTCTATTCTGTATCGTGGGTGTAATATCAGTCTTCGTTAGAATAAAACAACATCGCTTTCTAATAATAATTTGTTTTTATCAGAATGTGTTTTGTGGAGATTTTTAGAAATTTTCACAGATTGAACTCATGAGTCAGTTGAAGCTAGACCACCATTGAAAACCTGGAAGCACTGGACGGCCGTTTCGTCAACCAGGTCTGTTGTGAGATAGGAACTCACTGAAGACAATGGTGTACGGTAGCGCAACTTCGTGGATTGGTTGAAGTAACACATTAACACCGTTGGATGCCGGCTCAGTGGTCTAATGGTTAAGTGCTCGCGCGCGAAGCCAGTAGGTCCTGGGTTCGAGCCCCGGGTGGTGCGGGGTCGTGGATGCGCACTGCTGAGGAGTCCCATACTAGGACGAAACGGCCGTCCAGTGCTTCCAGGTTTTCAATGGTGGTCTAGCTTCAACTGACTCATGAGTTCAATCTGTGAAAATAATTTGTTTATTTGGCCGATAATCACCTGCCCTCAAACATCAAAGATGAGTGAAATTCTCATTTTACAAATTATTACTACTTTTCTAAAAAGAAGATGAAGTGAAGGCCAATGTTCTGGTTGTCATTTCATAGATGGTGTTGCTCCAACTATGAATAAACACTCCAGTCATTTACCATCTCAGTTTTATTGTTCAACTAACTTCATATTTTGTGATGAGGATAAGTCTTCTATATGATTCCTGTTTTGTCACACTTCTGATAGATTTGCATACACTGGATGAGTTACATGGCGTAAAACATGGAGTGTATCTCTCTGGTGATGTGAAGTTAAACTACTATGGCGAATGCGACAATGCTTGAATCCATTATTCAATCTGAGCTAGACCACCTTTAAAAACGTGGAATCACCGGAAGGCCGTTTAGTATAATACTCATGAATCCCAAGGTTAAAATTACTACAATCTCAACGGATACCCACTGTGACAATATTACAATGCTGTTTATAGTTTGTTAGGTAGAGAAAAGTCTCATATATATTCCATCATTCGATGTCATTAATAACTCTAACAGTCCATTTAGAGAAAATCTGAATGACGTTAAAAACCTTCTACAACTTAGT